AAATGGAGTTGACACAGAAGAGGAGATATACCGTGTGACTTACTTTGGCAAGGGAAGAATGCCTGTAAGTTTGTCTAAATTAATTTGGAAATTTGCATCCTAACCATAACCATAACCATAATCAATATGTTTACTTTGCACCTACTTGAATTGAAGATTAGTGTATCTTGTGGGATTTTGCAGGGTTTTGGTGAGAAGTGCACGCCAAGGGGCCAGTGCACATTTGGAGCCCGTTTGCAGGATGAAGAGATAAAGCTTTTGGCTGAGTTTGTCAAGTTACAGGCTGATCAGAACTGGCCAAACATTTTAATTGAAGAAAAATGACTTCTTCAATTAATTGCATTGCTGACTCAAATTTTTGGTAAAACGGTTCTTTGTTCGTTGCATGTATTCAATCAGTACATTAAAATGGTTCTTGCTTGCATTGCAACAAACATCAAGATTTTCATCGAGGTTTGGTTGGTGCGGTTGTGTGCCTTGTGGTAGCCATTGACAGATAATGCTTTCAGCTTCCTGCATTGTTTTAAGAAATGGGTTGGGCTAAACTAATTTTGTAGGACAGGAAAGGGAAAGGCACTGGGTTGGGCCAAATGCCAAGTGTAATTGAAAGGGTGGACTGGTTGGATTTTTTGTGGTTGGTTTGGGTGATGGAGGATGACCCAACCCTGAAATATACATGTTTTTAATCGAACTTGGAGATGGAATCGAACTCTAGACCTCATGCAATATTATTGGGAATAAAAATATCACTAAATTAAGAGCTAGTTAAAAAAAATGTCGTTTCAACGAAAAATATACTTTAGAAATGGACTCATTCAACAAGAAGGAAAAAGGAAACCAAAAAGCAAAAAACAAAAGCGAAAAGAGGAGGAAGTTCATTGAGAATTTAGGGCTGCTAGTGGAATGATAACATGGGATGTGCCTAACTAAGTTGAAGTTTTCAGGCTCTGGTCTTGACACGAGTCCTAGATGACAGTGCAAATGAAATTATTTCAAATCATGTCCTTTTGATTAATGCACTTAATAATCAAATCACCTCATTACATTGGTTTGAACTAAACATGTTGGCCATGGTTTATACTCTCTCCCAAAAACCATCATTATCCTAATAATGACATGTTTAAGCAATCAGCATAGCAAACATGGAAACATAATCACATTATATCCTACCCCACATGAGTTGTTAACATTGAAAAATACTTGATCTTAAATCTAATCACTCAACTGCCAAAACCCACTAATACTTCCTAAATGACCATGTCTTACACTAACATGTTCTTGTCTCGTTACCAAACGTTTCAACGATTAAAAACAATATAATTTTAAGTGGGTTTTAATTTTGCACCTCACTTGGTTGATCACTTTCATCTCCACTCATGTGGGCAGAAGTTCGAAACTCCCAAACACACCCAATGAATATTTGTGTGAACCCCTCTCCCAATCGCTTGTACTTAAAAAAAGTGGCTTTTAGTTGGTATCCTCTTTTAATTAAACTTATGATTTATTATTTGTGTGAAAATCTTAATAATGAGCTTTCAATAATATTTATTTATAGCCACCATCATCAAAACAGATGGTCCAAAAATGTCGACCTTGCCATTCTTTTCCAGCCAAGACTGATGAGATAGCCTAGGTTGAAAACATCTGCAACCAACGGAGACTAGTTGAGATAAAAAAAACAACGTGGGGTGAGGGTATTCATTAATTAAAGAGTAGTAGTTGCACCAGCTCAAACAAAACAAGGTTGAAAAGCCGATTGCCAAGAGCCAATGTAATTAAAGAAAAATTAAAGAGTTTGAGATTTTAATTAGGTTCCCCTAAAGCTTTGGCATATTGGGGGGTGGTCAGGGCCGGGCCCTGGGTGATTGAAGGCCTGGGCAAAACTCTAAGAGTGTGCCCTTTATTCATAAATTATTATTATTTTAATCAAATAATTAATTGAGTGCTGCTATTTTTTTCATCTTGTCCTATTTTCCCACCCACCATATCTTTAAAATTTTAAAGACAAGTTTATCTTTTTGTAAAATAACTTATAAGGACTTATGTAACTCATCTTAAGTGTAAATCCAGCATGGATGTTAACAATTTTAAAAAATTATTTTAGAATATTAAACAAACATGAAAAACTTCATCACTTCCTTCCCAGGCTGCACCAAACAAGCCACCACCCAAACACCACCAGCCACCTAGCAACCACCATCTACCACAAGCCGAATAGCACCCACCCACCCAGCTAGCTCTCAAGACACCTAATTCCCATCAAACCAAATTATCCATAACCCACTCTAAATAATTACCGACCCAATTTGACAAAACTCATTAACTAGTGTATTGCAATTTGCAAGTATGAGAATCGATTGAAATAGCCTTCCTCACCATTTGAGACAAAAA